AGTATCTGATAAAACATAATTTAAAACAAAAACAATATGTTTCCTACAGCATGGGTTGATACACTTTTTCTGTAAAGAGCCAGGTGATATTATTTTAGGCTTTGTGAGGCATAACATCCCTGTTTTAGCAACTCTGTTAACTCTGCAGTTCCAGCACAAAAGTAGCCATAAATAGTGTGTATGAAGGGATATACCTAAGTTCCAATAAAATCTTAGCACAAAAACAGAATGGGCAGATTTGTACTAGATTATCAGTAAAGATGATTTTTTTCATTCCACATTTTAGTTGCAAGAAGCACAGGATCAACACACAGAGGCTGTACGATGTGCTGAAAAGATGAAAGATCGCCTACAAAAGTGCAATTTAAAGCAGAATTCAAAAAAACTTGAGTATACGACAAATAAGCAGTATATTATGAGAATTGTATCAGTTATGATAATGAATACATCTGTGTGAATCCAGGGAAAATTTTTATCTTTAAATACATAACTTAGGATTGGTGATATAGCTCAGTGGTAGAGCATGTGAGTTTCATATATTCAAATCCTGGGTTTGATCCTCAGCACCACAAAAATAAAGAAAAGAAATGTATAATTTTTGCACATTTTCCATAAATTTTGCACATTACATAAAACACATCCAGAAAAATTATATAGATGAGACAATTACCAAATTAGCTACTTTGCAAATTTTAAAGAATTTATGTAATTAATCTTTCAGATGTTGTTTAGAAATTATATGGTATTTTCAAGATTGGTCTATGATAATAATTATTGTAACTATACATTTTAGGCTTGAACTTAAAAATTCCAAGTTAAAAGTTATAATAAAAAAGCAAGCAGAGAAAAATGAACAGCTTCAGAAAAACCTGTTTAGTGCAAATTTGGTAAGTTAGTCTCCATCAATTTTTGTCATACTGAAAAGGAATTTTTTTTGGGGGGGGTACCGGGTGTTGAACTCAGGGGCACTTAACGAGCTGCTGGAATTACAGGCATGCACCACCACACCTGGCACTGAAAAAGAATATTTATTAAGTACTAGTATACAGTAATATTTTAGGCAATATGAAAAATTTCACTGATACATTATAAAATAAAAACAAGACAAAGTATGCTGGTCAGCATCCTACAGGTGAGTCATTCCTAACCCCAAGATTAGATAGTAACTACAAAGTAATGCCACTAAGAATCAACATAATATGTGTGAGATTGGCTATTTTCAGGAATAATCCATACCAAGTAATGGCTTATGAGGCCATTATGAGGTCTATGAGAAGTGAACTAGAAGGAAGAAATAAAAGTTTATATGACCTTGGTAAAGACATGAGGAGCCAAGCATGGTAGCACACACATTTAATCCCAGCTACACCAGAGACTAAAGCAGGAGGATCACAAATTTGAGGCCAGCTTAGGCTAAAAAGAGCTATGGATATAGCTCAGTTGTGGAGCACTTGCCTCACACAAAGACCCTGAGTTCTATTCTCAGTACAACAGAAGGGAGAAAAAAAGAGGTGAAGGCTGGAAATGTGGATTAGGTAATCTGAGTTGAAGCCTTGAATGTTAAGGAACTCTGAGAGCATTTCCAAAGAGAAATAGAAAGGGATAGGAATAAACATCAGGGGCTGCTACTTTTAGCAATGCAGTGGAGCTTGAGAAACAAAGCGGAGAAGGTATGGTCATCATTATCAGTTGCTACTGAGGAATAAAGCAAAGTAGACTTTAAAAAGATCCTGAATGAACCTTAGATAATTTTTATTGGAATTATAGAATTGAAACAGATTTTTGTGTAAAAGAAGATACTAAGTAATAAAAAATAGATCTGTAGCTGAGACCATGTATTAAAGAATATTAGAGTCTAATGGAAGGGGGAATACAGAATGATAGGAAAGCCACAAGAACCAGGGAAAAGTTGTGTTTTTGTATATCACGGAGAAGACTTAAACTTTACAAAGAAATGGATAAGAGCAAAGAAAAAATTGAAACTTCTGGGAGAAAGCTTGCAAAGAATGAGAGCATTTTTGTGATTCCTAGTGATTTTAACTATATTCCATTTTCTTACCTAAGAAGACACAGGGCAATTCCATCAAATTCTGTTCACTAAGAAAGCAGTTCCTAGGGCCTCAAGTGAAAATAAAAAAAAAAAAAAAGTCAAGTGAAAATCAAAAATGTAATGGAAATCAAATGAGAATTTACAAAAAATTCTTAGGAAAATATGATTTTAATAAACCTGGAATATCATTCTTAATGGAATGTTTCTAGTTCGTCTTGAACTAAAATATAAATATAACCACTCGTTAAAATTTTTTCATTAACACCAATATGTAAAAACTTCTATTTTAAACAAACTTTGGCAATTTAAATTCCAGAAAAAATAATGAAGAAAGTGTATACCAATTTAAACTACTTGAAGAAAAACCACTATTTTTTAAGTGTGTCTTTATTGGCATCAGGTTTATAAAATGATCACATATTACTGATGAACTTAGGAGAAATAATATTTTTACAAAAAAGGAGTGAGTCTCTAGATTTTTAAAGATAATTTTCTTTTAAAATTTTTCTCAAAGTATGATGACAATACACTCGGGCTTCCACTAACAGCTTCTTTGAAGCCCTTTTGGCTTTTTTTCTTTTCTAGGTTATTTCTGCTTCCACCTACCTCCTGGTCCAAAGTCATCTTACATGTTCTATTTTTTTTAATGGCAGCAACTCATATTGTTTCAGTATCTCTGCCAGTTATTGATGTATAATAAACCACCTCAAAATTTAGTATTTCAAAACATCTATTTTGTTCATAATATGCAGTTTAATTAAGACTCAGTGAGACCCAATCAGAAGTTGGCCATTGAAGCTGGCCTGTAGCAGGGCCATCATCTGGACTACCTACATGAAGACTCTTTACATAGGTTGGGTTTCCTCACAATGTGAGAGCTTGATCATAAGGGCAAGTTTCCTTAGAGAGAGTCAGGAGGAAGCTATATTCCATTTTCTTACCTAAGAAGACACAGGGCATTTCCATCAAATTCTGTTCACTAGAAAGCAGTTCCTAGGGCCTCATTCTCAAGAGAGTAGATTTCACAGGATAAATGTTAAAGAAAGTATATACATGTTATAAAACTGCTACTCTAAATAATCATTGTGTCCAAAGTAATTCTTCTCAACTCAGTATGTGTTGTAGCAAATATCAATGTTTCATTTCTATTATTGAGAAGTAGAAAGACCTTAGATTGCTTCCAATTTTTGGCTAAATGCTACCACCAAATTTTAATTACTGTTTAGCATACTTCCTAATTTGTGGAAAGAATCAGAAGATTACAGGATAATGTTCTTTAATTCTGTCATTTTTGCTCCAAAAAATGCACAGATCCTGTAACTAAACTTTTAAACTGGGAAATAGCATTGCTCTTTACTGAGGAAAATTACTTCTTGAAATGCAATTTAAATTAATTTAAAGCACTTCAAAAAAGCTATTGACCTTAGAATCCATATTTACAAGATTTATTAATTAGAGACTTATTCTCAAAGTCTTATTCTGGGAGTCACTTATTGATACAGGCCTAGATAACTTAATATGATGTCCCTAAAACGTCTTTAGAAATTATGAGGAGTGAAGTTGGGGCAAGGGTAAAAGACTCTCTATTAAGAACTAACTTAGTCTTTTTAAGAAGTAGAGACATGAAACTGTCATAGAAAAATAAAAGTTTAAAATCAAGTACAGATGTTTTGTTGACAAAATGATGAGTATAAAGAATACATTTTTGTGATTCCTAGTGATTTTAACTTTCTTAATTTTCTGAATAACTTAAGGGACCACATTCTAAGAGTCTAATAAAGGTTATGTTTTATTGCAACTGAATTTATGTTAAAATTTGTTGTTAATTTTGTGTTTGACTATGCTCAGTCTGCTTCCTTCATTACCAAACTATATTATTTTATTCAATCAGATTGATGATCTCAAAGAAAAATTGGAAATTGCATCTTTAAAATATCTACTTCTAGATTTTAAAAAAATCTATTTTTTGCAGGAGTTATTATCTATGAAATCTATACAAAAAGAATATGAAAAACTAGAGAAGAATAAAATAAAGTTGGAACAAAAAGTAGAAAAACTCAAAAGCCATATTGAAAAGAATATGATAAAACATGATCAAGTAAAACAGTATGAAAAAGAGGTTCAAAAAAGAGCAAGACAAGATTTAGAAGAAAAATTAGAACAAGTCAATCTATTTTTACAGGTTAATTTATCTTTAATGTGCTTTAAGTTTATTTCACTACAATTTTCTTTTGGATATATGCATCGTATGTGTTTCCTCTACCTCCCTTATAGCAATTTGTCTTCCAAATTTGTAGAAGGAAGATGACATTTTGTTCTTCCTCTAAATATTTTAGTTTCAATCCTATCATAACTAGAGCTTTCAGAATAATGATCCTCACTAGAGAATCATTGATTTTTAAGAATAATTGGCATAAAACAAGATCATTAGGGGGAAAAGAAAAAATTGTAATGTACAAATCATATCCTATTCTTAAATGAATCTTAAATTTCACTGTTCAATTTTTTAAATTTTTGAGTTGAGTCTATTCTTTGAAATATCAGATTACATGAATGCTAACATAAGAATATTATGAGCTGCGGATGTTGCTCAGTAGTAGAACACTTGCCTAGCATGCAGGAGGCCCTGGATTTAATCTCCAGAACTGCAAAAAGAAAAAAAAAGAAATGAGTCATCTTTTTTATAATTCAGATTTAACACACTTATTTATTTATAATAGATATTTTAAATTCGGCATCTTTTTTCACATATTAAAATTACTAATGGAAACAGTGGACTGAGACTGTAGCTCAGTGTTAAAGCACCAGCTCAGCATAAGCAAGGTCCTGGGTTCCAGCACCGAAAGGGAAAAATAAAAACCTTAAGGGATACAAATAACAGTTATTTGGTTTATAATTATTTGTAAAAATATATCCTTTAAATTTGCTTTAGACACAGGCAGAGTCTCAACACTTACAGCAGATAAGAGAAAATAATAGTGCTTCAATAAAAGGCCAGATGGAACTCCGAATTAAACATCTGGAATCTGAACTGTTTAAAATGAAAACTCAAGAAGATTCTAATAGAAAACAACTGGGAATATATCAGGAAATCTGTCTAGAAGGATTCCAAATTACAAAATCATTGTCAGATGAACTAAACAAGTAAGTCAAAACACAGAATCCTAGAAAATATATTAAGTTCATTTGTCTGTCTCTAAAGTATAATTTTAGTGAGACAAGTTCATGAGATTAGTAGGATGTGAAACTTAACTATACAATATAATTTGGGGAAATAATAGTAGTAAAACAACTTGCCTTTAAAATGCTAGATTGGGTAGTCTCCCACCCCCACTCATATTTTGTTTGTTTTTCTATTAATTAATTTATTTGTTTATTTTAATTAGGTCTATATGACAACAGAATGCATTTTGATTCATTATATACAACTCTCATTTCTCTGGTTGTACATAATGTAGCATCGCACCATATGTGCATTCTTACATGTACCTAGGGTAATGATTTCATCTCATTCCACCATCTTTCCTGCCCTCATACCCTCCTCCCCTTTGTGCAATCAAAGTTCCTCCATTTTCCCCATGTGCTCCCCTACCACCATTATGGATCAGCATCCACTTATCAGAGAGAACATTTGACCTTTAGTTTTTTAGGATTGACTTACTTTGTTTAGCATGATATTCTCTAACTCCTTCCGTGTACCTGCAAATACCATAATTTTATTCTCTTTTATAGCTGAGTAATATTCCATTGTGCATATATACCACAGTTTCTTCATCCATTCATCTATCAAAGGGCATCTAGGTTCCTTCCACAGTTTAGCTATTGTGAATTGAGCTGCTATGAACATTGATGTGGCTGCATTATTATAGTATACTGTTTTTAAGTCCTTTGAGTATACACCAGGGAGTGGGATAACTGGGTCAAATGATGGTTCCATTCCAAGTTTTCTCCATACTGCTTTCCAGATTGGCTGCACCAATTTTCAGTCACACCAGCAATGTGTGAGTGTGCCTTATCCCCCATATCCTCACCAACACTTATGGTTGTTTGTATTCTTAATAGCTGCCATTCTGACTGGCATGAGATGAAATCTTAGTTTTGATTTGCATTTCTCTAAATACTGTCTCCCCACCACCAGCCTTAATAGTCTTATACAGTTAACCTGATCTATTAGTCTTTCAGCTAAATATTTTTGAAGCTTTTGTAATTAAGACAGTTATAGTATCACAGATTTTCTTGTCAGTACTCCCTTAAATATAAATATTAACAAATTTAACTGTGTTCTTGAAGATTACTACTTAAACCCAAAAGGTCAAGTACTATTATAATACTGGTCCTCTGAATGCATTCTGACACTTGGTAAATTAATTTGATTGGGATATTTGGTGTTATCACTAGAGGATGCCTGCAGACAAACTGTTCTTTTTAGTTATTCTATTCTACATAAAGACATATTTATGATATAGAAAAATATTAAAACAGGGATTAGGGGATATTTAATTAGCAGTGATTTAAAAAATAATTTCTTTGTCAATATGAAAGACTATATCGAAAACAGAAATGGCTCGTCCCCCCTCTGATGCCTTGATAGCAATCAGTTAATTTCTTTAGGAGCTACCTTAGTTCTTTCTGATCACCAACTCACCTATCTCCCCTAGCATTTGATGCTCTGAATCATACCTCAGGGCCAGATGCTTAGTTTCTCCCAATTAATGGGAGAAACACCATTTCTCTTCATTTGTTTGCTTTAGAAATCTCCCTAGAAATATATGTACTTCTTTAGAAACCTATAATTGTATACAGTAGGTATGCTGTGACACATTTTCAGTGTTAATACACTGTTTAAGGGGCTAGGATTGTGGCTCAGTGGCAGAGCACTTGCCTCATACATATTAGGCACTGGGTTCCATCCTCAGCACCATATGAAAATAAATAAATAAAATGAAGGTATTGTGTCCATCTACAATTTAAAAGAAATTTAAAAAAAACACTGTTTAATGGGAAATGCTATTCATTCTTATGGCAATATTTTTTTAAATGCAAGTCATTTTGGAATCATTTAGAGAAAAGTGAAATATTAAATATTTGTCTTTTTCAATCTTCACAGGACTAATGAGAAGCTAAAGGAGGTTAATACCAAACTTCTCATAGAGAAACACTACAACAGATCTTTACAACATAGCACTCTTAGCACAAGGCCTATCTCTGATTGTCATTGTACTGGAAATCATGATTGCTTTGTATTCGACAGAAGTTTTACTCCAAGAAGAAATTTAGTGACTCCTACCTCAAACCCATGGCCTTCAAATGAAAGCATGCAGAATCCTAGGGTTAGTTATTTTATTTTTTTCCATTGCTTTTCAGATTTCTGATATAATTCTTGTTTTTAATTTGGTGAAATGCTAAGTCATTTAGTTGATTTATGCATGTTAAGTAAAGGTCACAATAATCTGTGTTAATGAAGAAAGAAAAAAATTCAAAATTTTTTCTAAAGTCCCTAGAGCTTTTATTTTTAAAGAATACTCGTGTGTTAACTTGATTTATTAAATGGAACTAAGCTAATACATTTTAATGCTCTTAAAAAGCTGTGTGTAAATTATATTTTTAGAAATCTATGAATCTATAAAATCTATGAAATCTGTAAATATTATCACTTACAACTAAAGGTATACTTTGAGATGGTTTTCTACTAAGAGGTGTTTGTTTGGCTGTGCTTAATAACACAAAGTTTTCCTATATCAAGTTTACCACCCAAATTATAAGTGAATAATATCCAAACATTTAACGATGTATGGATGTTTATAATTTAAACAAATCTGAGGTGTATACTTTTTTAAATTTATTTTTTTAAATAAACGACAACAGTGGAATGCATTACAATCCTTATTTCACATATAGAGCACAATTTTTCATATCTCTGTATATTAAAGTATGTTCATGCCAACTTATGTCACTATATATGCACACTTTTTTGCATTACAATTCTTAATACACATATATACCACAATTTTTCATATTTCTGTTTGTGTATAAGGTATGTTGGCACCAAATTCAAATCTTCATACATGTATTTTGTATAATGATGCCTATCACATTCCACCATCCTTGCTAATCCCCTTTACCCTCCCTTTCCCTCCCACCCCTCTTCCCTATCTAGAATTAATCTAACCCTCCCATGCTTTCCTTCCCTACCCCACTTTGAGTCACCCTCCTTATATCAGAGAAAACATTCAGCATTTTGGGGGGAGGGATTGACCAATTTCACTTAGCATTATCTTCTCCAATGCCATCCATTTACCTGCCATGATTTTGTTCTTTTTTAGTGCTGAGTAATATACTTTTATGAATCAAATAAACCTGTTACACTAAAAAAGATTATTTTCTGTTCCTAAGTTGAAGGGGTTTTTTTTATTTTCTTAAACAAGAATATTCCTTAATTGCTATTTTATTTATAGAACCTGTATATCATTTCTTAGAAAATGTTCATTGCTGCATGTGGTTTATTATTATTACAATAGTTTTTAAATAGTTGCATTAAGCAAATACTTGAGTTTTTAAAATTAAATTCTCTTATGTCTATTTTGCTTCACTTGAATAATTGATGGCAGTCATATCAACAACCTTTAGCAACTACCATCAGACAAATCAATTATGTTTTTCCTATCCAGAATCTCATGTAAAGCTGCACATTCCTCATCTCCTCTGGAGATGTAACTGGAACCTTCTAACCCAACCATGGGATTTCATTCATAGGAAAAGAAAGAATCCATTTCTGGAGATCAAAAAATGGTCCCAAGAATGATAAACTGTATCAATTGTAGCATTGGTTTAAAAAAATGAAAAAGTGACTGTGCGTGTTTATCTTTACTACTAAAATATCCATTTCAATCACTGCTCATTGGCTTAAAGCTTTGATTTTGCTTTTACCATCTTGATCAGTAGTTCGCCAGTGCACAGAAGGGAATCAGCTCTGTGTTACCTGAGACTTCAAACTTATTTTTTTATTTGGCTTCATTTCCTAACAAAATCACAGAAGAGTAAATCTATGGTTTCTTAAGCAGCACTGTAGATTGTAGTCAAGTAGTTTAAAATGGAATAAATTAAATGACTTTTAATATATAAAATTATAATATTCTAAGTAGCAGATATATTTTCATCATTTTGCTGCCTTAACTTTTTCTGGGAAAATGAACGAATCAGTGTCTTAAATGATTCAGAGTCATGAAATTGAATTACTTATACAAGAAGATAATGAATATTAAATGCATATGTAAATAGTTAAACCTGATCCAAATATAAGATATTCTCATTAGTTCTTACCAGAAAACTCAGGTAATATATTATTTTATAAAAGAATGATAAATTAGTGTATAAATGTAGGCATCACACAAAGGAACTATTTCTCCCACCTTAATTGAGGGAGGGAGGAGGAATATTTATTTTTTAGTATTTCTAGGTAATTTTCAGAATAGCTTCTTTTAAATTTAATCTGGTAGTTTCATGGTATACATGGTTTCCTTGTGGGGCGTTAGTTTGCCACATCATGCTATACTTTATAAAAGAAATTTAAAAAACAATCTTCTCTCAAGATCCTAAGACATGTCTTTTATAATCACTTCACAATTTCTTTTTTTTTTTTAAGAGAGAGTGAGAGAGGAGGGGGGGGGGAGGAGAGAGAGAGAGAAGTTTTTAATATTTATTTTTTAGTTATCGGCGGACACAACATCTTTGTTTTGTATGTGGTGCTGAGGCTCGAACCCGGGCTGCACGCATGCCAGGCGAGCACGCTACCGCTTGAGCCACATCCCCAGCCCACTTCACAATTTCTTGAAAGAGTACTTTTGCAATTGTAATTTACAAAATTCTTAGTGTCTTATAGAGTTTCTAGGAATTTTATTATTTCTGCTATGTTAACAATATTGCAGGACATAGTAACATATGCTCTAAATGATAGTAGAAAAGGGTGGGTTTTGGAAGATGCTTTAGAAAGCAATAGACTTTTAATGATTTTTTAGCTATGATTTAAGAAAGTACGGTGTTAAACTAGCATTAATACCAAATTCGTTTACCCATCTCTTATTTGCAAGGTTTTAACATTTCATGAAGCTCTATCTTACTAGCATTTTTTCCAAACTTTAAGGAAGATTATTATAATAAATGATTGCTGTAGTCTGAGATCTCAATTGGACTGGTTGTTGAAGCAGTTTTCTCCATGTTCATAACATTAAACATTAGTACATCTCCTACCCTTCCGTGAAATTTAGCCTTCCACCTAACAAACTGGCTTTAACCTGTATTTTTACTTTTTTCAAGCAAACTTTCTTAAATTTTTGTGTCTATATTAATAAAAGAAATGTTGGGTCATAATCCAGATGCATATTTTAAATTTTTTGCCAGGAGAGTTTTCACATGACATTATGATATTTTTGCTTTTTTCATTTTTGTATTTAAGGTTCTGTGCTGAAAAATTGATAGCATAGGACATATATTGATTTTTTAATTTTCTAAAAGTAGCAAATTCAGAGTTCATTTTAAGGAAGAATATATTAAATTTTAAAAACTGATTAAACTTTTATAAAAGGCAGTTTTTCTAAGAATCACAAAATAACTCATTATAAAATACAAGTTGAATAATTAAACTTACATTAATAACATAAAACATCACCCTTCTGAAATATAAATTATATTTTATCAGAGTAATCTAAACAGCATTGCACACATATTCTCCATTATCTGAACTTGAAATAAGTAGGAATTTTATTCATATTACTTTTATTATAATTATTAGCACATATTAATTGTACAAAACAATGGATTTCATTGCAACATTTTCATACGTGCATATATCATGCTTTGATCTTAACTGCCTTTCCTTTCCTGATCCCTTTCCCCTTCCCTAATAGTCCCTCATATGCCTTTTGTCATCTTTTTTTCTCACATATGAAATGCAGTACTTGTCTTTCTGAATCTGGCTTATTTTACTTAACACATAACAGTATGTTCCATCCATTTTCCTGAAAATGGCATGATTTTATTTTTCTTTATGTCTGAATAATACTCGTGTGTGTGTGTGTGTGTGTGTGTGTGTGTGTGTTCATGTGATTTTTTTAAAGCAATTCTCAGGTTCTAATCTCTAAAAGTTTCAAAGGCCACATTTTCTAAGTGATATATCATCCTCATAATAATGTCTCAAATTTAACTTGAACATTACAAATAGTGTTTGGCTTATTTCAGGTCTGGCAGGAGTTGCAAGAAAATATAACTAGAGAAGTAACAGAAGGTATGTTGCCAAAATTTATGAATTAAATTTAGATTAAGTAATTCATTTCTGAAGTAAACTATAGATAACAAGTGCCCTCCCTTTGATTAATAGATTCTACATTATGTACTTTTTCTTACACATATCCAATGAACTTTATTCTGTTAGTCACCTTTCTGTCACTGTGACCAAGATACCTGACAAGAAGAACTTAGGTCATTGGTTTGCTTGAGCCCTCAGAAAAAGTTCCAAATTTCTTGGCATGGAATTAAAAAATACATAAATCAACTTGATTCTTTTCAAATTATGCTGCCTTATCTCTTCCCATTTTTTCCTACTCAGCTCTAGCTTTTAGCCAAACTGGACCACTATAATTCTACAAATGTTCTTTCTCAACTCTAGCTGTTTGCATGTATTTCTTTCTTCTTTCTGATATACTTTCTCCTTATCCTTCAATACCAATTTACATATCTCTAACAAAAAGCCTATAATATTGGCACAAAACTGGTATCTAAGTGCCTTCTCTGTGTTCCAGTAGTGCTCTTTTGTATCTGTGACAGTATCTATGACTTTGTATGGAACTTGCCTGTTCATGTTTTTCACGTTATACTACACAATTGTTGAGGAGTGACTTGTATCATCTTCATCTTGTCATTCCAGTGCTTGTTAAAGTACCTTAGCATTCAGTTGTTAAATAAATGAATGAAAAATGGAAAAACCAGAAGCTCTGATACTTACCCATAATGATAATTAATTAATTCTGTGTACAACTATGAGCAAATTATATTTAGTAGTAATTTTGTACTATAACCATGCATATGTATTCTTCATTCATACAAAAATTGATCTTTTATTATAATATAAATATTTTATATAATAATATTTTATTATAATAATAAAAAGTTCTCAACTTTGTTTTACTGACTTGTGCTTAATCTTCTAGGAAGTCTGACATAGAGAATATAATTCTTTTCTTTTCTCTGCAGCTGCTGCTGAACTTGAATCTAGATCCTTTAGAGTTTCTCCACTAGGATGTACTAATAAATAAAGTCAAGATCTACTTTCAGAAGCATAAAAACATACAGAGATTTTTAAATAAAAAATATATGATATGAAAGACAAATTGTTCTTTGTTACATTGTTTATATAACATCTTAATTGCTTCCCAATAAATATGAAGTATGAAAACTTTATTGAAGGAGAAAATGTTTTTATATCATATATGTGATAAAAATTCATATAATATTTTTAACTCTTTCTTGGGTTTTGCACACTTAAACTTCCCAAATACCAGCAGCTTAAATAGTTCCCAACCAGGTTGTCGTTAATAATTTGGTGGACTTAAATCTCACCTTAATGATTTTTTTTTTTGTATCTCCCAGTTTTTATCATTATATAGAAACCTAAAAATTCAGACAGATCATGTTGACATAATGGCACTATAGCCAATGCCAATGTTTTAATATAATTATTGTAGTGCCATCTAACATTATTTTAATTTTTTAATAATTTTAAGCACTTTTCCTCATGGAAAAACATATGCCTAAAACTTTTGACCTTTGTGTTTTTTCATTTGTTTGCTTAATCATCTTTGATTTACATTTGGAAACAGTCTTAAAATTAGGAAAAATGTTCTAAGTTCTAGTGCAAAGAACTTTTCCCCTGAGTCAGCCAAGAGTAAATTGCTATATATTACCATCATCCCTTATTACCATAGAATATGTTTCATATAAATCAGAGCATTCTGCATAACTACAATACAACATTAATCGATTCCACAATTTAATTCTCAGATTCTTTTCAACTTTTGCTATTTGTCTATAATGTCCTTTTTAGCAAAATGATTTCATTCAGATCCATAGATTAATCACATTTAGTTATAGTATTTTTTAGACACTTTCAGTTTGGAACTTCCTCAGACTTTCCTTCACATTCATAACTTTGAATCTTTTAAGGCAGAATGTCCCTCTGTTGGATTTTTTCATGATGATTAAACTCAGATCATTATGTCTTTTGGCAAGAGAAAAATAAGTGATTCTGTGATTTTTGCACTGCACCTTATTGTTTGACCTATAATTTTGATTTTCCCATTACCAGTGATGATGATTGATTGCTAGAGGTCGTATCTGCTGGGGTTTTCCTCTGTAATTTTTTTTTCACTTTGTAATATTTAGTGTTTTGTGGGACATGATTTGAAATGGCGTAAATATCTCTGTTCCTCATCAAACTTTCAATTTTTTAATTTACTCTTATCAATATGAATTCATGGTTTATTTTAATCAGTGGGCAATAATTTGATAATATTTTATAAAATTATTTTTTTCTTTTGAAATGTTCTATTTTGACAATTTTGGACTTTTGGAAAATTTGTAAAAATAATACAAAGAATTCTTGAATACCATTTGCTAAATGTGAACATTTTACTGTATTTGATTAATCCCTTCTTCCTTCTCCTCTTGTCTTTCAAGGAAAATATAAATATAGATAATTAACAAAATTTTTATTTTCTATGAATTATTAGTGATGCCTCTCCATTCCTGAGTACCTGTATTTCCTGAAATCAAGGAATTATTTTCATGGCTATCATAATAATAAAATCAGGAAATTTTCTGAAATTCATTCCAAAAAAAATGGGGGTTTTTTTGTACCTGGGATTGAACTTAGGGCACTTGACCACTGAGCCACATCTCCAGCTCTATTTTGTATTTTATTTAGAGATAGGGTCTCACTGAATTGCTTAGTTCCTTGGTTTTGCTGAGGCTGGTTTTGAACTTCAGATCCTCCTGCCTCAGCCTCACATGCAGTGGGATTACAGGTATGCACCACCATGCCTGGCTTCATTTTATATATATATATATATATATATATATATATATATAGATATATATATATATATATATATAAAATATTATATTTCAGTTGCAGTAACAGTCTCCTGGTTTTATATAGTAAGAGCCATGTTGGGAAAGCCCACCCAGGAGTCAGAGAATATCTGAGGACCTCATTTAACAATAACAGGGACGCATGGAGGGATATACTGTCAATTGATTCCATTATTGGCCAATACTGACTTTGATTATTTAAGAGATCTTCCAGGTTTGTTCCTGGTAAAATTGCCATTTATCCTTTCTATTTCATAAACATCTCATGTGAAAACACTTTGGGACTCTGTAAATGTCTAATCCCTTCAGAAAATTTTACCCACTAGAATTAGCATCTCATTAACAATTCTTGCTTGAGTCAAATTATTACTACGATGGTTGCCAAGTGATGTTTTTCTTTCATTTCTTCTACACCAAAAATAAAACCAACAAAAGTGGGGAAGAAAGCATGGATTATTTTGTTATTCACATGTCCCAGATTTGACCATTAGTAGCAATTTCAAGCTGATTCCACATCTTTTTGCTCTGTCTGCATTTTTCTTTTGGGTACTTTCTTACTTTCTGAGATGACAAGGTATTCCAAGCCTATCTTAGATTTTCTCTTTTCCAGCCCTAGAATCAGCTATTTGACTTAGAAACCCTGATTCCTTTTACCCACACGTGGGTACTAGTTGTAGTAGATTACGTGCATATTGCTCCTGGGGTTGTGAATGCTCATCAGATTCCTTAGGGGAAACTATGTGAATGTAAACATAAATATATATATAAACATATATTTATGCATCAAAATATATTGAAAACTGTGTTCTTACTGATAATTCCAATCCAATCCCACATCTGGTTTTTCCCATTTCATGTCCGTTTATACTTGTTTTGATTTTATGTAGCTGTACAAACATAGGGCAAACATAGGAGCTACACGGTGATAATTCAAAACAGTGTGTAACATTCAGTGCTAGTTAACATTTTCATCTCCTCAAACTTTTATCTCCTAAATTTTTTAGTGTGAATAGTGTTTATTTTTTTCTATATTTTATTGGTGCACTATAATTATGTATAATGCTGGGATTAATTATATGCACATAGTATTACTATAATTTGGCCAATATTATTCTGTGTTATTTCTCCTTTTCCTCACCTTCTACCTTCCCCTGGTCCCTTTCCTCTGCAGATCTCTCCTTGATTTTCTTGAGATGCTGCATGGGCACGCACACAAACCACTTTCTTTTCCTTTTTTCTATATAGCTTCCACCTATAAGTTAAAACATATTAGCCTTGACATTATGAGTTTGGCTTATTTCACTTAACATAATGTTCTTAAGTTCTGTTCATTTTCCTGCAAGTGATATAATTTGATTCTTCTTCATATAAAATTCTATTGTGTACATATGTTCCACATTTTATTTATCCATTCATTCATTTATGGACACCTAGGCTGGTTTCATTGTTTGGCTACTGTGAATTGTGCTACTATAAACATTGGTATGTATCTATCAGTCAATAATGTACTGACTTTAATTCTTACAGATTATATGATCATGTACTTAGAAGAACCATAAAGCTCCACCAGAAAACTCTTAGAACTCATAAACAAATTAACAAACACCTTAAAAAGTCAACATACAAAAGTCAATAGCTTTGCTGTACACCAATAATGAACTTCTGAGAAAGAAATCAGGAAAACAATTCCTTTTACAAAAGCCTTAAAAAATACTTCGGAATAAATCTAACCAAGGAGGTAAAAGACCTTTACAATGAAAACTATAGAACATGAAAGAAAGAAATTAAAGAAGACAAAATAAGATGGAAAGACCTACCATTTGCCCTTTACATTCAATGTTATTATAGAAAGATGTTTATTAACTTCAACCATATTGATTAATTTTGAATGTCTGATTTAGTCCTATTTCTCATTTGCTTAGCTACTTTTCAAGTGAGATTTGTCCATTTCTGAGCTCTGGAATTTTTTTTCTTTTTATGTTTTTTCTTTATAGTATTTCTTTAAGTATTTTCTGTAGTGCTGGCTTAATAGTCATGAATTATTTTAGTGTCTGCTTACATTTAAAGATTTTTTTTATTTCTTATTCAATTACTGGGGTAGCTTCAATGTCTATAGCAATCTTGGTTGACAGTTATTAT